TGATGAAATTGTGATGAAGAAGTTGAGTATCAAAAAATAGCATATAAGTCTTAATTTATATCAAGAAATCAAATATCTAAATGCGGAAGTAATCATACGAATAATAAATCTAAAAATGGATCGACGAGCAATGAGGCGTTAAATTAAAGGAAAGATATATTATCACAGTTGCTTAAATAAAGGTTGTGTAAAGAATATGTAATTAGCTCTGAGAACAAAATATATAATCGATATAATTGAAAGTGAGGGGCCAATTCTCCGGAAAAATAGATAGTAACATAGCGTTGTTATGGCAACTGCTGCTTTTCACTGTAAAAACTGTGAAAATGTTATGTATTTGCTGTGCAGTCAGGCGTTTTAGATATAAAATCTAAGATAGAATACGCATAAACATTAAAAATGTATGTTATCATAACTGCATCTTTCTGATGTGCATTTATAACACGTACGTGAAGTTAGGTTTTATGCGTAAAACACTTGATCGCATAGCATTTTGATAGTTTTTATTACTTTTTTATATGAAGAAAAGAGCGTAATATAGCGTTTCATAACAATACTATGTTACTGTCTTTTTTACCGGAGAATTGGCCTATGAATTTATTGCATAATTAAAATTCGAGTATGATTTACATTTAAGATTTAAAAAAAATGATGGCCTCGCCCGTAGGTAAGCGGTTAAGAGCGACGGGACTTGTTTCAGAGGTCCCGGGTACGATACCCACTTCGAGCAGCCGTTGTCAGGCAGCAGTGACAACGATTTTCACTTGGAAATATAGATAGCAATATGTTTCCAAGTGAAAATAGCCCTTGCTGCACCAATAAAAAGTGAGCCCTATTAGATTAATTCTAATAACAAAAATCATCAAATATGGATGGATTAACCATTGGGTTACCATCTAAAATACGAAGTAAGGAGAAGTTTTGAGCCCAACAGCTCATAGGACGTAAGGTTCTGATTGTTGTTAAAATATATAATAATAAAAGAAAATGATATGATTAAACGAAAATTATTTATATCTTTTATCTTAAATATTATTTAAAGGGCCGATGATAACGAGTGCGTGCAATTTTTTTTACTGAACCGGTTCTTTGTCGTGAATGTCTCGTTGCACCGTTATCAGGGCGATTTAAAGGCGTCTGCGTGGCGTCGGCGCGGTACGGCCGCCACGAACCGCGAACCGCCGACAACTGGTTTTACCTGTTACTGTCGCTTACTGTCCGTCTGTTTAGTTCTGCGATTCAAGAAAGAACCAACTTTTGTCGTTCGGCGAATTGCAGAAATGCGAAACGACGCCTCCCAAGCAACATCGATCATCCATCTGGACCAGATGTGGTCCAACCGAAAGAAAATTAATAATAAAAATCATTCAACTATTTTTGAAAAAAAGTAACTGATTTAGCTTCTACTTTGTTATTGTTAATCGTAAACCTTGTGTGGCACACTCTTAAAAAAAGTTTATTATTAGATAGAATGATAAATATATATATCAAGTTTAAATACAACTAAATTTCTAAAAATATATCAAAATAAAAAACCAAAAAAAAAGACATAATGAACACTAAATGTGAAATGCTAATAATAAAAATTAAGCTCACAACATAT